AGTCAGGCCTCTTTGCACGAAAGCTACATGGTATCTTGGACAACGCCCTTCACCCAAGAAAAGAGCCCCGCCAAACATGTGCCAAGTCCTGCCCGACCTCAAGAAATGAATCCACCGGGAAACATGTTGAGGTCAGTCTTGAGACATTCTGAGCTGTAGCCACGGCTCATCACAGTCAGCAGTCCAAGAAAGCTGACTCGTGTGCACGGAAGACCATGTCCAGGGCATGTGTCCCCTGCTTGCACGCGCAATCGGCCGCTCTCAGCTTCAGGTGCCCCGCTTCCGCTGTTCAGAACAAGCACGGAATGATCGGGACAGCAGAAGCCTTCGAAGAATACATGCTGCAGTTGCCCTTAAGCCGGGCACGATGTCAGGTACTCCGCGGGTGCTCAAGTACACATCTGCCCATAGCTGGGCCCAGCAGTGACAAGCCAAGACTCCAGTAGAAGAAGACGGCAAAGGTGTGGCTCGAGATGCTTGATTGTGCGACCCGGACAGGGATGCAATCCTTGCCTCCTGAACCAGCCGCAGCCGTCCGTTCAAAAATCGTGGGGAAGAGCCAGGTGCCTTCTTAGGAAAGGACCTATAGGACACCTGGGGCATCTTCCATCGTAGAACAAAGCAGAACTCACGCAGCTCTGGAGTGCTTGAACAATCGAAGTTCTCATGCTGATCTAGAGTGATCTGACCTCGACTGCATCAGAATCGAAGTTGGAACTCCCTGCTACATGGATTACACGGTTCCCCTGCCCCGCTGCTCCTTAATCTTAGCAGCTTTGGGACGTGCGGGAAACGAGCACACGGCTGGGCGAGCGATGGAACCACTTCACCTGCGGATGAAGCGCCATGTAAAGGTAGAAAGCTTAATTGTCCACAATCCTAGGAGAACTAACGCTTAACCTTCGGGATTATATGGGGAAACCTACTCTACTAAGGCAAAACCGTCGAAGGTCGCCCCCTGGCCTCAAAAGCGCGAAACATCTGCCAAGATTCCCTTGACGCTGTTCCCTCCGCGAATCCGACTTTATTCCTGTACGAAAGCCCATGAACAGAAGTGCACGCGCAGCTGCCATCGTAGGGCACAACGTTCTTGGAGCCAGACAACACTGAACAACAGACATGCGTTCCCAGGCTGCTGGTTCCCTGTCGAGCGTTGCTAGCTCACCAGAATCACGACCGGGCTTGGGGCCAGTGTAACCAGATACGGGAAGCAGCCCCACCTTAGCGATCGGCGCAAAGCAGTTCGTGGTGCAGGAGGCATCAGATGCCTTGGAAAGCTGCGGGTCAGTTTCGTAAACCACTCTGCTGAGCAGGTATGGGATGCATGGGCAAGCCCGGATCGACGCGTCTTGCAAGAGTCCCTAATGTGTCACAACCTGACGCGCCAAGCCAAGACCCAGCAGCACCATGCCAAGAGTTGACGAAACGCTTTTTCGTCCTGGGCGCTGTTCTGAGCTAAGCTCTGACATCATGCGCTGTCTTCGTCGGAATTCCAAGTCAAGTCAGAGTCAGCCGAGCCGGCTGGCCGCTGGCCCTCCTGAGCACGCTCGCGCCCTCTCGAGCCACACGCGAGCTTAGCTCAGAACAGGACGCTGCAGATCAAGTCTTCGAAATCGGCCATTGATAAACTGACAGCCATGTGCCATTGACCCAACTGGCCAAGCAAGGCTCGAGACTATGGCAGGCCAGGGACCACCACAGTTCCACTATGAAACCCTCTCCTCCTTGGTCTACTTGCAGGCGTCTCCGATGGTGCCTGATGCCTCCCATCTCTAATCACAGCCTGCCTCCCTGTGTTTCTCTGCAAGACAATCCTTCTGCGCAGGCACCAAACGCTCAGCGGAGGGAGCTCGAGGTGAACGGAAATAGAAGCAGTGGAAATGGAACAGCCTGGACCGGTGCGGCTGCAGGCCTTCACTGCCTTCACTGCCTTCACTACGGGACCCTCAAACCCTCGCCCGAGGCCGTCGGGTCACAAGGGGATGAGCAGCGTGTCCAGTGCGATTGAATGGCCTCGGCTCCGGCAACCACTGAACCCAAGGGTTTGTGCGGCGACGAAGTGTGCGATTTGCGCATGTGTTGAGAGACGTGGCCTCAGTCCAAAGACTCCTTGGGCAACCTGCTTGCAGCGCTCGCAAGGAAGCGGAAGCTCAAGTGGCCGACGGAGCGCACCTATGGGCTTGCTGAGGCCTACTCACCCACTATGCCATTGGCCTAGAAGTCGTGGTGTGGAATACGAGAGGCGACCTCAGGTTGCAATTGCTGCAATGGCCGAGTCGCAGGACAGAGGCGCAGCACTCGCAGAGCTGCTGCAGAGACCACACGGACCACGGAGTTGACGGGAAGCACCCAGGAGCGCAAAGGCGCGCAAAGCCCTGACCACGCCAACGTCAACATCGGTCCCAGAACTCTTAGAACTCTTAGAGTCTGCCGAAGACTCTGAGTCCCTCTGAGCTACCCGAGGTCTCAGCGCCTGGTGGCAGGACCTTTGCGCCCTTTTACACACTCCACATCTTACGGGAGGGCTTTGAGCTTCCGGCCTCACAAGGCTCCAGCGGAGCGCTCGGGCGCTTCCTTGGTCCAGCTGCCAGCCTCGTGCTACAGAGCAACCCAGTGGACTTTGGAAAGCGGCAGATTTTCGGTCCCTGGCCCTCAACTCACATCTGGGCATGGCGGCGCAAGGCTTTTGAGGACCCTCTTTGCGTTTAGCCAAGTCACTCTCAGCCCCACGGGGCTTTCGAGAACAATGTTGGGAGTAGCAACGAGCAAAGCTTTTCAAAGCTCGAGGTCAGTTAATTAAGTTCTTCGGTGGCGAATCATGCATCACTTTCCCGGGGGTTGCAGATCTAGGGCACAACTGCCTCAAGCCCCGCAGCCTAGCTCACTGGCCTCTGGGAAAACACGAAGAACTCCTCATGAACAGTCGCCACCTTGAGTCCTTGGATGGCTGAGACAAGGTTGCTTCGTGGCAGGAACACATGCTAGGCTCCGTGAAGGGGGGTTCTGCAGTGGACGCCGTACAGCTTCCCCAAACTCCGGACAAACACAAGCTCGGCATAGCGCGTCAGTACAGCCACAACAAGCGTTGTAAGTGCTGCGAGAGATTGCGAGAGACCTTGAAGGCTGAGAAGAAGCTCAGAATTTGCCGAGTTCGCAGGAGCAAGACATGATTCGAGTGTTTCGAGCCGGGATGCGTGCAAAATGTGCGAAGTCAAGGCCTCTTCGGCGTGGCGAGCCACAATGTGCATAATGTGCTGTTGGCCCGCATCAACGGCTCGTCCGGGCAAGGAAGCTGGACACTTGGGTCACTTGGGGGCTTCGGAGTCAGGGAGCTGTAAACACTGCTTGGCCAGGCGTGGCGACAGCTCGGGCTCGGCTCCAGGACAGGTCGGCCTCCATGAACTCCACTTCAAGATGACGTCGCAGCACAGTCAGCACGGGCGCACCAAGATGCGCAGGCGCAGTAAATGCAGCGATGCTGCTGAAGAGCAGCTCCAAAGCAATGCGCGCCCGCACGCTCCCAGAACGAAGCTTTTGCTTTGCCTGCTTTTGTCTGCGCAATCCCGAGACCCATCTCAACTCGGCACTACCTTCGCAGCACCTTTAAAGGACCGGCAAGGACCGTTCCGGAGCGGTGGCAGCTCTTGCCAAGTTTTCAGAGCTCACAGGCCAGCGGCGTGCGCCATGTCTTGGCATGGACACGGCCTCGGGAACACCGACAATGCAACGACTCAGCCTGACAGGCGTTCTTGCAAACCAGCCGAAGCCAGCCGGGCACGCAAGGAACACACGAATCCGCAAGAGATGACCAAGAACATCAAACACAGCTAAGAACTGCTCCACCATCTTGTGCTTACAACCTGCCTGTGTCCAAGCATACTCCAGCCTCCTCCATAAAATCTGACCATCCGCTGCGAAGAACGAAAAAGAACAACGAGCCAGCTTCAGGTGATCCTGCAACCCTGGTTCGGGTCACCACAAGCGGCAACGGTGCAAGCTGCCTGCGAGAAGGACGCCTCCACACTTCCCCTTCCGAGCATCGTCTTGGCAAAGGCCGCCAGAATTCACTCACCGACTCATCGCGCGTCGTGCTGCTCTGCTGCTCACGCCGACTACGCCGAGTCCGCGCCAGCTTGCGCATCCACTGCCCCACGGCCTTCTGGTCTGCTGCAGTCGTGGCTGTGCCGGCCATCTAGGCAGCTCCGACAGGCCCTATCTCTAAGCTTCACACCCTTCCCTTGCAGCAGGGGAGCAGCATGGAGCAGCCTTGCTGTCGTCCTCAATGTCCTCACACCCTCACAACGTTGTCAAAATCTCATGGCTCCTGGAAGCCCCGGGCAGAAGAAAACAGCCCCAAAATTGGAAGCAAGACAGTCAGTACACTCAGTACACGCAGTACACGCAGTACATTGTGCATCCGTCAGGAAGCACAAAGGCTGCACCTCCGAAGGGACTGGAGCTGGGGAAGTTGGGGAGTTCGCAGAAGCAAAACACAGGCAAGTCACGTCAAGTCGGCGCAACTGCCCTCGATAGGATGGCTTCAGGCTGCTTGTAGTCTCCATTAGTCTCCCTTCTCCAGATTCCGTTCAGCTCTGAGTCTTCATTCCAGGCCTCTGAGAGTTCGGGTGCAAGACCTTCGCCAAGAATGCGCCGGAAAGAGGATGTTGCAGAACCCCTGCCAGCGGCCAAGAGTGTTGCCTCCTGAGCCCCATGCAGCTTGCGGCCTTGAGGCTTAAGCAGGAAGACTGCTTTCAGAGGCACTTCATGGCACTTCCTACGAGAGGCGGCTTGAGTCATCACGAGTCAAAGCTCCTTGCATGCCTACGAGATGTCTGGAGCACATTCCACTCATCTAAGGAGCCACCGTGCACATTAGGCATCAGCGATGCATTCAGACCGAGTTTGGAGAACACAGCTCGGAAAGGGCAGTGCAGAATTTGCGGAAGTCATGAAGTCATGCGTGCTCTGAAGAAGGAGCTTAACTTGAGGTTCCTCTGATCATGGGATGGCAGAGCCATGATGTGCTGTGTTCAGAGCGGCCTGTCCTTCCCAAGTATGACGAGCATGCGCAAGCAGGAGAGAACCTCCACATCGTGCGCCAGCTGGGTGCCATCGAAGAGCTGCGGTTGGTCTGTCTCTGGCACTATCGGAGGCCACACACGTGGCCGAGTTTCACGATGGTGCCCGGTGGCCTCTTGATGCATGACAACAAAGGCTGTGGAACCGGTGGAACCGGTGGAACCATGGAAACGGTCTCAGGAGCTGTCCTTATGCTCTCACGCTAGCCCAAAAGCTCCTGAGGCACCTGCCTTGCTTCAAAGCAAGTTGCTGCGACTGCTCCAGGAGGTGATCTGCGCCGCTAGTGTGCCAACGGCTCTCGAAGCAAATCAGGCGGACATGCACAGCAAACCTCAGCAAAGCTGCTGGAGATCTGGAACGCTAGTTCGCCGCACTCAGCCCAGAAAGCGCAATGCCGCTTGAGCGCATTTTGCTTTTGGGCTTCTGATCTTCTGTGCTCACGACTTATGACCTGACTTTCTTTCGCTCCATGCGATTGACGCTTTGAGCCCTGTGAGCTCCTTCAACCCTTCAACGTTGGAAAGCCGCGGGTCTTGAAGCAACAGAAAAGAAGAACCCGTAGGCGGTGATGTCCTCTGGTTTGTGCGGCTCTGAAGCAGCGGACATGCACGGCAAACCTCAGCAAAGCGGCTGGATCGCTGGTACGTCAGCCATCATATGCCCGGAAAGCACAATGCTCTTTGAGATCAGCGTCTGACGCTTGGGAACTTTGGGCTGCTGTGTAGTCACCAGCTCAGCTCACTGAGAGCACCATCCCGTCTCAAGCTGAGCCATCCAACGACCTCAAACCTGACCTCTGTTGCCTCGATGCTCTCCGGAGCGCTCCAATCACAATAACAGATCCTGGCCAAAGCCCCGAAGGAAGCATCACGGAGGCGTCGCGGAGCACTTGCACTTCCCACTCACTGCACTCAACATGGCCTCCTAGCAGACGCTGAAATCACTGAAGCAGTGAGCGGCAAGGGAGTCGATGGTCTGGCAGACCTGCTTTGCGAACTGGGGTTTCACAGAATCTAGGGCGCAGGTGTCAAGAAAAGGGTGCGGTGCCGAGCCAACCTCCTCCTCGGGCGTGTTGCCGAATTCGGCAAACCCTGTTCTCGTTGCCTCTCCCCTCTCCCGTGCCCGATGGTGCTCTCACAGCATGTCACAGAACCCACACAGACGTCGGGAGGGGCTCTTAGAGTCCTAGAGGCCTGCAACTTGCAGCGTGTGCTAAAGCAGAGTGCGCTGGCTTCTTGGGCCAATGAAACTAAGATCACCTTCGAGCCGTACATGCTCGTTTAGTGGGGCCCTGGTTCGAGGGGAACGAGGGAGGAGCGTGGGAACCCAGACAGTAAGCCGGTCGGGCAGGGGATGGAGACCTTCGCCAATGGGCTGACGAAGAACCAGGTGATTGCACTGCCAAGGAGCACGTTGGCCCCGAAGTTCCCAGGCATCAAGCGTCAGAAGGGGCAGCAGGGGCAGCTGGCGGCTGGGCGTCATCGCGTTCTTCGGCCTACCAGATCTGCAAGTGTCTCATGTGGAGACATCCTTCGGACAACGAAGCTAAACGCCCCAACCAAAGGTCGGAAACAAAGCACGTGTCGGGCACTCTGAGCTTATTGCCTCAGCAAGTAGTTTCAGAACGCTGCGGAGCACACGGCACATGTTGCGAGTGTAGCGAGAAATCTGTGGCCACCCCACTCCCAAAAGGCCCGGATGGGAGTTGCATGACTCGCAAGACCATCTTCATGTTGCGAGCCGCGGCTACTAAACATGGGGAAAAGACTTCCCCAGATTAAGCAGCCAAACAGCCCCCATCTTCATTCCACGCAGGCAGGGGCCCAGCATGGCCCACGCTGGTCATGGTCTAACGAAGCAACCTTCGGATCTTCTCTTCGTTGAGCACAGTTCCTAAGAGTTGAGTCTGGGGCTGTCCCCTTCCAGGGCTGAGTTCACCAAGGCTAGTGGGGCTTCTTTGGCATGGCCGGCAGGCTCTCGCCAATCCAGGTCTCGTGGTCCGGAACCTGGACCTCCGGAACCTGGACCTCCGGAACCTGGACCTCCGGAACCGCCGGTGAGTTAGGGCCATTGAAGACATCCATGGGCGCGCATCCGCAGCAGGAAGCTCTTCATGTGGTTGTTGGTGGTCAAGGAGCCGTGCTGCCCACACCCGAAAGTCAGCCTCAGCAGACCTGATAGTGAGTGCAGCAAGCAGTGGCAAGCAGGAATGTATACTGGCTGCAAGAGAGGAGGCACAAGGCCTGCAGAGGCGGCAAAGCCAACGGTCAGCCTGATAGAAATTCCTGGACCTGCGATGACATTTGACCCGGCCCGCTGCCGCCGTAGCAAGAGAGATATCAAATAGGAGAGATATTGAGAGCTTCCCGTTGCTGAAAGCTAGAACATACCCGATCGTACTTCAAAACTGGCAAGCTCGACAACAAGCTTCTGCGAGCTTCGCAACTCATGGAGACATGTTGAAGCGCGACCCGCTCGACGGGCCCATGCGGTCTTTGGTTGCGCTTGCATTGCGGTAGCTGAGTCAGAGAAGGCATGACAATTTCTGGAGGGTACCTTGGAAATTGTCGCCGAATTTGGCCCTTACAAGGCGCGGATCATGCAACAGGCTGGAGCGCGCTAAAGCCTTGAAGCGTGTCAAAGAGCCTTGTGTTGGCGGCTTGGCGGATCTTGGCGGAACCCTCTGAAGAAAGGGGTCCCCCTTCTGCGAATGGGGACCCTGCAAAACGATGTGAACCATGTGAACCCTGGAGTGCCGCGCAGCTTGAAAGGGCAGCCTTCACAAGACAGCTCCGAGTGCTTCATTCTGCAATCTACGGGAGACCGGCTACATGAATCGAAAGAAAAAGGAGTTGGGAAGAGCTCACGCACCAGCAACCAGCAAGCTCAAGGAACCTGGGTGTGCGTCGGTTCCCGTGAAAGGCGGAAGGGACAGGGTCCTGAGAGACATGCGGAGCTGATGATGAAACCCGAAACAGCCCGAGGTTTCACTGGACTTGCTCGGTGTGTGGAATCTGAGCTGCAGCCTGACGCCAGCACTTCATGATCTGCCAAAGGTATACCAGGATGTACTCTACATCGATTCGCGATGGCCCTTGAACCTTAAGAACCGCTTCGAAGCGACAAGGGGCCCAGCCTTTTCGACGGGCCGACGGGGCGTCTTACAATGCCGGGTATGGCAAACAGATAGGGCCGGGTGTCGGGCCGAGGTTCCAGAAACGAGTTGGGCAGAGTTGGGCACTTTCTCACCTTATCTCGATGCTATTAGGCTATGCCCAAGCAAGAAGGAGAATCCTTCCCACAAAGCGACAACGGTCCCGGTACATTTGGCCCAACATCGGTCGTCCCTGTTCGTTAAAGGCTGGCTGCCTCAGCCTCGGCAAATCTAACAAGCCTTCATATGTGAGCGGCCTTCGCTGGGCCCGACGTTTTCCTCATGCTGAAAATCTGAAGCGGCACGTCGCCACACCCAGAACATTCTAGCCAGCTCTTACCCTGTGAGGCAAGCAGGGGGTGCAAACCCGGGCCCCAGCCGTAGGGAACGGCGAAGTGCACATTTGTTTTCCGAATGGTGGCCCCCCAGCTTCCTGTCTGCTTGTGGGTGGAGAGGTGATGCTTCCAAGCGCTGGCCAGCTTTAGTGACAGCCTTGAAACCGCCATGCTGTGCAAAGCAGCGGCACCGCAGCCTCTAGAAGCGCAAGGCCGGTGCAAGGGACGATACCGATGAGGGTGCGCTCCCCTTCCAAGGCACCCACCTTCCAGCTATCAAACACAGGATCCGCGCGCCGATGTGCAGGGATGCGCAGGGCACCTGGGGCCTGCTCCTACCTGTAAAATCGCCTTGCGCCGCGGAGTCTGATGCTTGAAGGTCAAACAGGGTTCAGCAAAGCCAGACAGCAAAATGCAAACGCTGCCGTGCCTCCGCTGTTCTAGGCTCCAAGTTGCTAACATGGATGCGTCACAAACCTCCTTGTGCGTTACGTGGGAGACACTAGAGCCGCTGGTAGAAGCTCCAATACTCGAACCCTTCTGTGCAGGGAACTAGCGTGCCAACACCACCGCATTGTCTGAGCTGCCACGCTTCACCTGTTCAACGCCACTGGATGTGCAGCCATTCCAGCATACCATCTGCAACAGAGTGCTCCTGACCCTGCGGCACTGCGATGGGGAAGGCCCGAACGAGCGCAGCATCTGAGATGCCGGCAGGGGATGGGTAAATCTGGGCACATGAGGACAATGAGGACAATGAGGACAATGAGCACAACACTGCTCCCCGAGCCCTCAGTGTTACCAGGGTACCGGGGATGTGTTCTCCAATATGGAACTGCTTCCTGGGCTGCAAACCTTCCAGGACCAACCCTAGTTTCCAAGTGAAGGCATCAAAGGCTGCGAACCCAACCTTCAACTCCTTGGTGGACCACGTACCGTAACCCATAGCGTACGACTGCTAGAACACAGCTGACATCAAACCCTCTCTGGCTCTACGTCGCTTTCGCTGGAGCTCTGCTCAGCGCCCCTGCGAAGGGCGCTGCCCCCCCCTCCGCCGCGCCAGAAGCCGTGCACAACAAGAAGATGGACGTCTCAGAATGCGCTGGACATGGGGCAGAACCCAGGGCTTGCAAAGAGCGCATGTGACAGATGCTGGCCGCCTGTGAATCACCTTCACTTGCGCGGCTTCTCAAGGGTGGTACTGTTGGTACTCAAAGCCATTGCAACTGCAACCTTGGTCTCACTCGTGGGGGGCATCCCGGGGATCCCTAGCTTCGCGCTACCAAGGAGTCCGCCGTTCGGCTCCCAACCTCCATTCTCACAGCGACTCGCGCCTCTGTGCAAGGGCCGGATATCTGGGGGGAATGCGACGGAAGAGCAGCTTTCTCATTGACAGGGCGTCGAGGCGAAGGTCTGTAGACACGCTAGCCTGGTGAGCCTCTGCCTCTACCTGCTCAACACAAACCTTGCTCCTGGGTGCCGCTTTTCGCTTTTGAGATGTGGAGAAGATGTGGCTTCGGGCACACGGAGAAGAGGGACACTCCGTTGCCAGATCGGGTGCTCAACGGGCTGAAGGAGCCATAAAAAGCCATAAACCCCCCTATGCAAAAACATCAGAAGATCTCGCAAATCAGATCACTGGGATTGCGACTGTCCGGTCAGAACGTGGCCTCTCAGAACGGCTTCTCACCAAGCGCATCTGCGGCCAACCTCCTCAGCGCAGCCCCTGGAACGGCGAAAGGGGCAGAAGAATCACGATGGATACCAGGAGGGCCAGGACAGCAACAGCGCAAAGTTCGCAGGTGTGCTACACGGTGTTCTTGTGTCACGCGATGTTTCGCCCTCTGGCTTGTGCAAAAGACCCACCGTTTCACAGCAGAAGCTTCAGAAGTCGAGGCTTCACCCGAGTTGAG